CAATTTTTAACATAAAACAAAATTAACAGTTTACTGCCATTTTTATATTATCAACTAAGAAAATTGATGAGATGGGAAAAATATCAACAGAGCAGTGTTAAATGTCCAATTTCTTCCATTCTGAGATTCTGAACATAGTGAATGATTGAATCTGACAAACTGCAATGATATGAGTTTATTTCCATTTTTGACACTTTATTACACAATACACGATAACAAGTTTACCATCATTTTTACATAATCAACTAACAATGTTGTAAAGATGCAGGAAATGTCAAACAAACACTTTTATGTATCTTATTAGTAAAATAATAAGACTGTTAACATGCCTAAGAATTGAATCTGGAAAATGTGAAAAAACAGCATAACTTCTAAAATAATGGCCCGATTATGCTGATTTTCGAACTCAACCTGCATTTTAGTAAGATTGACCACTTTTGTGAGTTTAATGACAATTGGCCTATCTGTTTTTCTTATATTGTGTTTACAGTGTTGCATATATGCTGAAAAATGAAAAAACAGCATAACTACTACAGTAATGGCCTGATCATGCTGATTTTCGAACTTGACCTGCGTTTTATGAATATTCATCAGCTCTGTAAATATAAAGCCAAAAAGTAAAACTGCCCTCCACTTATCGTGTTTACAAGGAAAGTGCACGGCGACGGCATCGGCGACGGCGACGACAGACGCAGGCAATGGCAATATGTACAGACACATCTGTGTCTGTACATAAAAACAGCATAACTTCTACAATAATGGCCCGATCATGCTGATTTTCGAACTTGACCTGCATTTTATGAATATTCATCAGCTCTGTAAATATAAAGCCAAAAAGTAAAACTGCCTTCCACTTGTCGTGTTTACAAGGAAAGTGCACGGCGCCGGCGATGGCGACAGCGACGGCGATGACAGACGCAGGTGATGGCAATATGTACAGACACATCTGTGTCTGTACATAATAAACACTGAAAAATACAAAATATCTGACCCGTCAATCTTTGTGAGCCAATGTTGATGGTCATCACTCCCAGTTCATGGAGGTCATCTTTGGGTAAATTCTGGATATTGTCTTCAATGAGACTCACGTGATGAGGTTGTATACCATAACATATGAGAGCAGAGTCCCCAGGGCTGCCATAGTCCCACCATTTGATCAGAATGTCTTCTTTCCGTAGAGTGAAAGCTGCCATCAGGGCTTGACGTATACCGTATATAGTCTGCTCTGCACTGCCATATGGACCTTTACGAACTGTCATCTTCAAGTCTTCGTAAATCATTTCTATAATTTGTTGAAACAAAAGTAAAGTGGTTTCAATCATAAATACTATGATCCTTTTATCATGAATTATCATGACTTCATAACTTATTCATTAGACCTGTTGCTGATTTTAAACAATTCTATATTAGAAGAGTGTCTGTGTGTTTGAGTGTGTGAGGGAGTTGTCTTTTACTAAATATCTTCATCATAAAGTAAAAAAAGGTCAACTTGAAGTAATAACATTATATTACAAAGCAAGCATAAAGTATAAATGACAAAGGAGTATCCCTTATCTGATGTCATATACATACATAATTTTTTAGAGAAAAATTAAAAAATTTAGAAACCTTTTAACTCTGTCTTTTCCTTGATGTATTTTCTACATTCATTGTAATCATCTTCATCCATTTCAACCCACAGATTAATGTCACTGCGGCTCAGGCCCAAATCCTCAAGGGTCTTGATGTTGACAAAAATTTCCTCTACAGCAGCCTGTAGCTCACCATGGCGATAACTTTGCCACAGCTGGTACAGTGAATGCACTGACGGACAAACCAAGCGGAGGATAAAACACTGGCGCTTTGTATCATAAATCATTGCATGGTATTTCTCTATAAGTATAAATGCTCTTTCAATTTCTTCAAAATTGGCTGCTTTAGACAGTACAAGATCGCTCATTTTCATGAAGTGTAAGTCTCTGGCTTCACATAGAGGGGTGGTAAGTTCTAAAGGAGGAGATGAGGCTGTTGGTGCTTCATTAGAGTTCACTGGCTGAGTAATATTCTTGCTTGGTGGATCATCCAGGTGAAGAGGTATACCAGTGATCTGGTTTGTGTCACTTCCATCACCTGTCACTGAGGATAAGGCTTCCCTGTCTGGCTGAGTGTTCTCTGGACTTGGTGTTTTCTGACTACTGGAGAAGATGGCTGATGATTTGACTGCTTCCATTCCTGAAGGACTGATGCTCATATGGACAGTAACATCCACTGAGCCTGGAATTTGAAATAAAAAAAATTAGGCATAAGGTAGTCTATGACATACAAGTTGCAGAACTTTTTTTCCCTACTTCAAAATATGAATGTATTCTTTTTGGTACATGTAGGTGGTTTTGGGAAGCATTCAACAGAAATGTAACAAAGCAAGCTGCCTGGTGAAGCCTTTCACCTATATTCTCTTTAGTTATATTTTAGATGATACACTTCATGGGTTTTCTTATCATTATATGCAAAAATAAAGTTTTAAAAAGTTTTAAAAATACTCATGTACTTTTCTTGGAGCTTGAATTTATTTTAGCATACTACCTGGAATTTTCTGAAATTCTGGTGTATCTCGGTCTCTGTCACAGATAATCTTTTCCTGAATTTCTGAAAACAAAATAGGTCTCAAGTTGTATTTTATCTGCAGGGTTATGTTGCTGACATTATTATTTCAAACTCATTTACATCCAAGAAAATGTCAGAGATGGAGTTGTTCCTGAATCAGAATGTAAACCCGAAAAATTCCACTGTGCATAATTTCTACTGATATGGAAGAAAATGTCTAAACCATAAAATACCTTTTGTCATTTGGAGATGCTGACCTTGCATTGATCTTAAAGTTGCAAGTTCTTCTAGCTGAGCTTGAATATTCTCTGAGTCTTGTTTCTGTGCATCTTTGACCTCTTCCATGAACTTTTGTGACTGTCTGAGTTGGTCGGTCATCTCTGACTGACCTACGTTCACCTGTGTGATTCCTTGAGAGATATCTTCAAGTTTATTATGTGTATTTTGAGCGACACTGTCCATCTTCTTGAGAATAGTGTCTTCACTTCTTTTATGAACCTGTTCCACATGGTCCTGCAGCTTTGTTTCACCTTCTTTCAATTCATGTATGACTTTTACCAGCTGATCTTTCACATCTATGTCATAATTATACCATTCTTTCAGAATGCTCTGGTTTCTCTCCAGTAAAGCAGCATCAAGAGGTTCAGACAAGATGGCATCATAGTCCTCACTGGTAAACTTATTAGAGAGATCCAGCAAATTGGACTTGAGCCCTGAGAAATGTGCCGTAAAATCTTGATCACTAATTGCTGCCTTGTTAGCATGGCCATACACAATGTTTCGATATCTTTTAACTTTCCCAATCGTGGCTTCTGTTGATGTACATGTATCTGCGTCAGAGGGGTTGTCCCATGCTTTCAAAGGTGGATGTGGATTCAATGCTGTGATGTTTCTCAGCAAAAGCACAGTAAGTGTGATGTCTAAATCACCAACAGTCACTGATTGGGAGGGGTTTCCACCAGGATACAGCTGGTTTTGTTGGTGTACATTAAGTACTCTTGACCGCACTAGTCTATTCAGTTTTGTCCTGACAGTTCCATCACCAAGCACCCCACATAACAACCCAGTGCTCGGGTCAAATGAATTGGGGTACTTTTTTTCAAGCTCTTTCTGAAGAACATCTTGCAAAACTTTCAAGGCATTATCTACAATTAAAACACTCATACGAAAGAAATTCTTCTGGTCAGGGTTGGGCCTTGCTGTTGCCATGGTTGCTATCACTAATACTGGAACATTTATCTTCCTTTTTTAACTGAAATGTAAGAGAGAAGTTTTCTTACTCAATGATTGCATAATAACCAAAGATTTCTATTGGCAAATTATCTGAAAGATACATTTGTTTTTCTGAATAACTAGCATATATATACTGTACTAAGTAAAAGGTTAAAATAAACTGTATGATGACTGACATTACAATACAACAGTATGTATACATCATAGACACAAACTGCTTCACCTGTACATACAGTATCTGGTAATACATTTTATATACTAAGACATGAACCAATACATGCACTGGGAGGAGGGTTGTCTCTGTTTTTGACATAACAAGCTATGCAGATAAGGCCTCTTTCCATTTGTGCTACAACATGGTGATAAATATGCACATCCTGGCAAAACTGTTTGACTTCTGACAATCTTTAAAGTTAAGCATTTAGAAAATCCTTTGAAATAATTTCACGATATAGTTTGATAAACTTTTAATCTTTTCATCTATGTAGCAACTGTATATACATGCACATTGTGCCATTTGTAGTTACACATCTGCCCTCAGAATTTCTATCCCTGAATGAGGTCTTGCCTACACCTGCACAGCACACTGAGGTACGTAAGGGGAGAGGGTTCAGGGGCAGATCCAGGGTTATATAAAGGAGGGGGGGGTCCGCAGATGCAAAGTCGACCCCCCCCACACACACACACACACCACTGAAAAGCCTAGAAAATTTTGGTAATTTAGAGGGTGAACGGTGCCATTTGGTACCATTTGGTTTAGAACTAGTCGATCAAGATTCTAATTTTAAGACAGGACTATTGGTGTGTTTTTTTCAGAAATCAAAGGGGGTCAGGACCCCCGACACCTCCCCATAAATCTGCCACTGGGGTTGCTCACAATACTACTGCTGCATAATGCAATGTATTGTAATGGTCTGTATCAGTGGCAGATTTAGAGGGGGGGGAGGGGGGAAGGGGACCCTGATCCCCTTCCGATTTCTGAAAAAGATATTCACACCAATGGTCCCCCCTTGGAATTAGAATTTTGACAAGCTGAATCATAGTTCTTAACCGTACTAAATTGCACCCTCCCCCCTCTAAACCACACGTTAGAGTCGCACCTCACCTTCGGACCCCACCTTCAAAAAGTCCTGGATCCGCCCCTGCATGGTCTGTACTCCTGGTAGTAATTTATTCTTCACAAGACTTTACATTGTATTTAACACTCTTTTCTCTGTATTAAACATGACAACAGACTGATGGTTTCTCGTATTCCACAGTACTTAGCAAATGTACCTTCAAGTCATATCCAGAGCCCGTGTCTGAGGCCACGGTCAAGCATTATCCTAACTACTGGACTGATCTGGTTTCGTTTTCACATTTAAACATCCGCCCACCTTGCCCTTTCCCTTGTAGTCGTTCAAGATTAATAAGAAAAGAAATGTACTATTAGTATTTAAATCAACTCACACATCATTCCGTTCTCTCTCTCTCTGTCTGTCACTTCCTGTAAAATGAGGCAGATCACGACAGTGGGACAATATTATCTTGAACCTCGGTACAGAGATCAAAGTACATGTACATTGTACTGTACACACTGTCGAAAATAATTTACCCTAATCTTTACTAACATATCATATTTATATTAATGTAGATATGAATATATCAAAATAAAATATAAATAAGTGAACATCAGTGAATATTTGGTACATTTACTACAAAAATGATTTAAAATATCAATACAAAACTAAAACTCACACATGCCATATATCTGTATACGTGACCTAATTCTCGTCCAATTGGGACGTCACGTGGCTGTCGATTGCATCAAGCACAAACAATAAAGTGTGTTAGCGTCTCCTGTTCCTATCAGATGGCCTCAGACGAGAGGGAGGAAGTCCCTAAGAAGCTGGAGGAGATGTCAGTGGGGTTTATAGGCGCGGGGCGGATGGCTCAAGCCCTGTGCAGGGGGTTTATTAACACAGGTACGTGAGCAGTGAACCGTAGAGTTTGTTCCTGGGCTGGGCTTGCTTAACGCTGTACTTATTTGTGGTGTTAATGGGTTCAGTTCAGTTTTGAGTTAAATGATAGGAAGATTATTTACATCCCGTTCTTTTTGGTGATTTTTGTCCTTCAATTTTATTATCATCACTGTATTTTTTAGAATTGCGATTTTCTAAATAAAATTTAAATACTAGTAAAAGTACACTATATAATATGTATCCAGTATACCAGTCTATGACTGCATTACCACAGATTTTAGATCGATCTATCCCCATGGGGAGTCTCACTAGATTACTGTCAGCTTAACTGGCTTAAAAAGGCTGTCCGCCTACTAAAAGCTGTAAGGGGGTAATTAACTTCCGTGCGCACTCGGCTGACAGCAGTTTAGCTTGAACCCCCAGGGAGTTAGGTCGGTCTAGATAGATGGGAATGCAGTCTATAACTCTCTGCAGTAAAATAAACTTGATAATGTTATTAAACTACAGCTGGTTCTCCATGATTAACATGTGTAAATGCTTAAATGTATACTAATATCTCCCCAAATAAAATTGACATGGCAGTCAGGTGGGTAAAATTACAAGTTTCCTCAGTGCTACTATAGTATGTATGCTAAAACTTTGCAGAGGATGTAAATAAAATACTAAAAACTGTGCATATCTCTAAAGAATGAGATCAATCTAAAGTACGCATAATGCACATGTACGTATTCTCCCACTATTCTACCTGTATTTCAGACACCCCTACCTCTCAGTTAAAGATATAAAGGTAATTTTCACACCTGAACAGGGGACATGTCACTTTCCTCACCTGTATTGATCAGTACTATCAGTGTTGACAGTGTTTATAGACAGTTTGGACTTTAAACTCCAGGTACCACTTCAGCCCCAGTTTACCTGAGATTACACCTCCCCCCCTTATGATACCTGTTATCATCCAAGGAGACATTACTGCCTCATGTTTAGTATGTCTCTTTATTTGTTCAGAGGTTGAACTGTGTGTTGTTTACTATTTATGCCATGTTATATTATGATAAGCCTGTATTCGCTCATTGTCTACCATGTATATATTCATTTTCCCCACAAAAATGCAGCAAATGAAATTTTTTTGGGGGAAAAAATGTCACAAGGCACCATACACTCTGATTTTACTTATTTCTCTGGAGTTCTTGTATCCTGCTGTTGTTTATATATTTATATATATATTACAACTGGAAATATTTTCTTTATTTTAACTTTCAGGTTTGATCAAGTCCAGTAGTGTCATTGCCAGTGACTTAGATTCCAACATGTTAAACTATATTGGGGTAAGCAGTGTGCTTGTTGAATAAGGAGAATATAAAAATCTGTTAAACTACAAATGTTCAGTAGGTGTGCCAAAAATCAAAGACACTTGAGCTAAAAGCGAGAAACTGCTCAGAGATTCATAGATGGATCGATCCTGTAAGGTTGATCTAGGTACGGGAACCCAGAGAGAGAGAGAGAGAGAGAGAGAGAGAGGGAGAGAGATTGGTTCTTTTTTACCAATCAGTAACTTTTAATAGTTGCTGAACAGTACTTAATTATCCCCTAGCAGGCATGACAGACATCTAAGCCACAAAAAGTTGATTGCAATTTAGAGAGAATCCCCTCGGAGGTAGGTCAATCCACAGTGAGAGAGAGAGAGGGAGAGAGACCCTATCATCTCTCTCTCTCTCTCTCTCTCTCTGTCTGTCTGTCTGTCTGTCTGTCTGTGTATATATATATATCTTCATTGTTGCTAGGAGCTGGGTGTGAAGACAACCAAGAACAACAAGGAAGTGGTCCAAAACTGTGATCTCATTGTCATTGCCGTCAAGCCCCACATCGTAACCCCAATACTGAAGGAAGTCTCCCATCTTGTCTCACGCAGGAACTTGTTTGTTTCCATAGCAGCAGGGGTGACACTGGACACCATTGAAAATGTAAGTATTTTCTTTACTTCTAAAATTTTGCCAGTTTTCAAGTTCTTAAACTGTTTAAGACTGTATTAAGAACAGTGGACGAATTAGTCCGAGGGTCAAATATGGCCGACCCACTTGAATACTTCCCCAAGGGATATCTATTTAGTGTCTGTTACTGGATTAGATGGAAAGCTTTTCAGTCGGTTGCCATATTTGGCCCTCAGACTGGTGAGTCTGCTGTTCTAAATACAGCCCTGTTGTTATTGATTGCAAAATTTAAAACAGGAAAGTAAATATCATATGCATTTGTAATGAGGCCAGGAGAGAGAGAGAGAGAGAGAGAGAGATCGGGTGACAACAGCAGCTCAGCAGGTAATTCCAACAGTATTTTGTGCATTGTGGGGAAGGGGTGCCAGGATGACATGGACTGAGGATGTGATATATACACAATTTATATCAAATCAGTTAGGTGTTTCATGTTGGACTTGGTTATATCATACTTTTGCTGAATTGTGCTGATTTGGGAGATGAACTTGTGAATGAGACCTATCCTGGGGTAGTGCTAACACTCGCCAATTTAGCCAAATGCTAAAGCTGACTTAAATTGGCTAAAGAAAAAGGGCTTGATTTGACGTTTTAGCCAAATTATAACCATTTTGATAACAAATTGACAAAAGGTGGTGATTTGGCTAAGCGAAAAAAATTGCTAGTGCTACCCCAGCTATATGATATACACACAATTGAAATCAAATTTATTAGCCATTTGGTGCTGACTTGGTTACTGCATATCATACTTAAGTCAGGTGAACTGCATAAAATTGGCAGTTGAACTTGTTCAGGGGTCAGTCTGCCATGGATGCTGCATTAGCATGTGGGAGTAGTGAACCTTTCTTTTCCCAAATGTCCAAAAGACAGTGGTCATAGAAATAACAATAAGGCCTATGTCCTGCATGGCTGGGAATTGGTTGTGGGGGTGGAGGGGGGTTGTGGTGGGGGTAGAGGTGGGGGGAGGGGAGCTGGAGGGGAGGGGGGTGATGTGGACTGAGCTTGTGATGTATACACACAGGTTAAGTCAAATCTGTCTCAGTACCCAAAAACTGTGAATAGTGATTTGTTATCAGAGGTTGTCATGGTGACCATATTTTGACAGACGCTAGTTTGTTAGTTCCCTATTAGTTACAACAAAGTTACTGTATTATTTTTGTATTTTATGTACTGGATATCTTGTTATCATCCTAGAAAGTGTGACAGTTTATGATTAGGAGTCCATTTTAGACCTTGTTGACCCATGCGTCATCCCTTTTTCATGCATAGACACATTTCAAAGCAGCAGACTTGTTTTGACAGTAAGTCTTTTATTTGAAAGGCTCTGTTTCAATTTACTTAGTAACTCACGCAGTCCTTGTTTTTGTGGATTATTAAGGCCAACCAGATGCAGTTAAGTGTTGAAGAAATATACTTCATAAAATGTCAACCACTGTAATGCTCTTTTGGTTTGCAGTATGCTTGATGGTCATTTATTATAGCTTGGGTCACTTGTTATAGTTGGCCTAAGGTGAACCCAAGTCTTCAGCTGTTCATGAAAATTAATTTGCTGTTTATTGGAATGAAAAAGAGATGTACAGTCTGTGTATTATTATTATTAGCTGCAGACCCTAGGTGTTTTTGACATCATTACTTCAGAGGGAAGTGACATAAAATCGGGGTGAAGCTGTTTTCAAAAAGAGAATGGATTTTAAAGACAGTAAAAAGCAAAATGTTTTTAGTATGGTGTTCAATGTTGTCTCTCTGCAGTTTCCCTGTCTGTAGTCAAGGGGACATGAAACTGTGATAAAACTACAGGGAAGATATTTATGTTATCAGTGACAGGTCTTGGATTATAGAGGTGTGTCTTAGTGGAATTAATTATGTAGCTTTTTAGTCATTGAATAGGAAGGTAGCTTAGGGCATTCTTGACACAAAAGACGCACTTTCTTTCTTGCCATTATAGAATAATAGTCTGCCTCTTAGGATGCTTGACTTTTTTTCTGCATTTCATGTAAATTCAGCTGTAAGAAGTTAAAAACAAATCAAGTTGCTTTTGAGGAAAAAAATAATCAGATAAACTTGGTAGATTCTGAATTTTTGGGAAAACTGTGAAATGTTAAAGGTAAAGTCCGCTTTACAATGGAAAGCAGAAATCAAAATATTTGGAAAAAGAAAGTGGTAATCAGAATTGTGTGTGATAGATGTTAATCCAATAGTTTGCTCTGTCTGCAGCTAAGAGCTTGTTTTGATGTCTCTGTCTCTCGTTACCACAGAGTTGAACTCATTTAAGATAGCAACTTCCCCTTAACGACCTTAATGCCCTCCTTTTTCCGTGCTGGGTCGCAGTTAAGCCCTGGTTTAAGTAGCGGCTGCCGTGGCTGATGCAATATCCATTTTCATAGTACAATTGGTATTTGTACTACAGCTGCCCCCTGGTGGCAGGCACTGA